GAAACACCAGATTTCCCCCTTGATATCCACTCATGAGGACAGAGCATTTTAGAGCTGGTTCTCTGACCAAACTCTCACCAGTTTCCCTAAGAAATTCCTTTATTGAGCTGCATCTCCTTGTGATACCTACTGCCGTCTTGGATGGTTGTTAAAACAAGCTCCTATACACAGGCAGACTTGGTATTTATGGTCCATCTCAGATGGAAGACATCTCTCATTCTCTATTAGCCTGCCCCTTATAATAGAGATACAAGAGATCACTTTCTGAAACCTTTCTTCACATAAGCAAGTAGCAACACCTTGGCAGAAATGGTTCAGTTTCTTTTGAGTGACAATAATAGCTGCGTAACACAGAGAGTGGCCCTCTATGCACTGTCTGCCAAAAAAGAAAAAAAGAAAGAAAAAGGAGTTAGATAAAATTGCTATAAATGGTTTTGGCTTGATTTGATTGTGTTGGTGTCTCTAGTAACTTCTGTCTCTTACAGCGTGGATGCTGGCAAATTGGATTTTAAAAAGGCAAAATAATATTAGAATTGGAGCTGTCAGAGGTACACAATGTTCAGGAACTTGGCAAAATCTTTTTTATATTATGGACTTTTATTTTATGGATGTATGTCCTGTGCTATATTATCAATAATGTTGACTAATACACGTTTGTCATGGCCTTTGGCTAAAAGAGCAGACTTATGAACCTGAACAATCAAAATTGTCTGGCAGGGGAACTGAACAGCTTGGAGAATGGTGGACTGTTCTTCACTAGAGGTTTTTAGATTCCAAATGGCAGCCTATCAGGGATGCTGTAGGTATTTTCTGCATCAGTGGGGGGTGGGTAAACCTTTGAGGTTGCCTTCCAACCCTATCATAGTAAAACTATGAAATCCACTTGGGATCTGATGATGGCCACCATCTTGGACAGTTTTAAGACGGACTGAGACAATTGAACAGAGGGCAAGAGGGTGGGGTTTTTTGTCAGCATTGCAGAGGGTTAGACTAGTCGACCCTTGGGATTCCTCCGGACTCTACAATTCTTTGTTTCTAGGATGCCTGTGTTGTGCCTCCACTATTGGAGAGAGAGTGTGCTGGGGAGACAAAGGTGCTGAACTGGCTGGGCCAGGGGTCTGATCCAGCAGAGCTCTTACGGTGTTCTTAAGCATATTTTCTCTTCTTTATTCCTTAGGGACGTTCAGAGGAATCTGTAAGCAAATCAATCATTTCCCAGAAGATGCTGACTATGAACAGGATGCGGCTGAATACCTCCTGCGTAAGGTTTACAACCTCCCGGGCAACTACAATTCTGTGTTTGTTGGGAGGGGGGGTCTAAACACAGAAGAGATGGGGCTCACCCCTGTAGGCAACCGAGCGGCCAGCAAAATCCAGCTGGAGATTTCCTTGTCAGAGTATGTGTGAATCCCACGTTCGATGGAGCTTTTTGAATTTTCCCTGAGCATCAAGGGTGGGTTGTGGGGTGTGTTTTTCAATGCAGTGCATTAACTAATCACTTTCCTTAATTCATTCATTTACAACAGCGTCCTTTTCTCCCTTGGACTGACATCATTAAAAGATCATATCTCTGAAAGGGATAGGCTAATGTCAATTTTGGTTCTCTCGTTTTTCCAGTATTAAATTCAATTTGTATTTCTGCAGCAGTTTGAGGATTCTTTTTCTTCTTCTTCTTTTAATCCACATGAAACTTTGTCAGCTTTTCTGTGTGAATTTCTCCAGATAAACACATTTCTCTATGGCAGGAATATTTTTTGCACTGGGAAATCATGCCTCTGAAAGCCAGTTGCTGGGAATCACAAGCAGAGAGAGCTGCTGTTGTGCTCAGGTCTTACTTGAGGGCATCTGGTTGGCCATTGTAAGAACAGGAGGCTGGACTAGACGGACCAGTGGCTGGATCCAGCAGGCTCATCTTGTGTTTTCCTAATATAATGCATCGCGGAATGTCATTCTCATCAATTTTATGCATGTTTTCCCCTAGTATATGCATTTCTCTATTTCATTTCATTTCATTTCATTTCATTTCATTATTTTATTTTATTTTATTTTATTTTATTTTATTTTATTTTATTTTATTTTATTTTATTTTATTTTTACTGGAGAGCTGCATTGTTAAATAAGTGCAAATTTCAAAGGATCCCTGTGTTTCAGTTCTTCAAGGGTGAATTAGGCAGTTTCTCATCCAAATGCAAACAAAGTTGAATTTCTCCCCATCCCTCATCACAAGTTATTATACTTGTTTCAAAATCCAGTCACTTGGGCAGGATGTGATGAGTGAAGGGATGGACAGATCGGCTTAAGCTCCATCCTTATCCGTTTCCCTCAGTCTGTTCTGCCCCCTATTTTTGAAGACTTTCCTAAAGAACCCATGAAAAATCCACATGTAAATTATGTGCGTTTTGTACACAACGTTTCCTGGAAAATACACATTTCCCAGTGCATTTCCTCCTGTAAATATGCATCTTGTATGCATTTTTATTGTAAAGATGCATATCTTTATGCAGACATTTTTGAACCAAACTGCATAGCCATGGGTGCCAACTCATGGGGGCCGAGCCCTTGCGGGCACCCTCCAATATTTTTGGTAGGGGGCTGTGCCCCCCTAATGTCCCAAAAAATCAGGGGGTGGAAGAGGCTGAGCATGGAGCCAAGCATGGCATGGCTTCAGTGACTGGCTCCTTCTCCTTCTCCTCTTGCCATGGAGGAGAAAGAGGACTGAAGCAGCCCCCACCAGTGGCAATGGCAGGAGGAGGAGCTGCCAGTCATTGAAGCCGTACTGTCGCCACATTTGGTTCTGCCCCCGGCTCGTTCTGATGCCCTGACATCGTACACAATGTCACACGCACAATATTGCCTGTCCCCCCCCCCCATATCACCCTTGGAAGCTGGCGCCTCTTTGCACAGCCCAGGTGATAGTTGATAGTTGCATTCTGATCCACAATAGAATTTGGAAACGTCAATTCGAGTCAGTCCTCTGTGACAAGCAAACCAAACAAATTCATCCCCCATCACTTGGCAGAGGATTTAGTCCTCCCCAAAAAAATGTACCCAGTAAATTAAAAGCTCCAGGGCTTACCTGATTATCAGGAGGAGAAATCTAGGCAGCTGCCTGGGCTGGCAAGATGTAGGAAATAGCAAAAATGCAAGAAATAATTATGTCGGTCTGGAGAACCGATCCCACGTTGAGATATTATTTGGCTTGTGTGCAGCGGAACCAATATGGGAGCAGCGCCCTTCACAGACTCACTATCACAATGTGTCTCCATAGAGCAGTAGAGACTGGTGGGGCAGAAGGAAGGGAGGCCAACAGTAGGTGGCGCCAGAGCTAGCAACAGGCAGAGCCAACTAACTCTCGTTTTGTCTCCTCCTGCTCCTCGTCCTTCTTCATCCTCATCATCATGAATGTGCAGGCGTCCCCCCACTTACATGCGATCGACATGCATATATGCATGGCACCGGGAAATAAATAACTAATTCGATTCAAACCTGGAAGTGGCTGGTGAGAGGTGGAGAGTCTTCCCCAGAGCCTGAAATGGATGTCAGTGAGGGCAGAGGATGCCCTGAAGTGACTGGAGGCACAGCAAGACTTTGTTTAGGCTGCTCAGCCTCCCTGCCTAACAGCTGGTGTGTGTGGTACAGTAGCAATGCCAGCCACTTTTCAGCTCGTCCTCCAGCCTGCAGTCAACCCCAGAGCTTCAGTTCAAGTTGTGGATATTTTTGGATACGGTATTTTTGGTCTGGATTGGAGAGAGAGCGGCAGAGGGCAATTTAAGGGTGCTTAGAGGGTGCTTCCCACTTCCCACTATTTCACTTCTGCGCGTGGAGGGCCCAGAATATAACACTTTGTAAGTGTTGGGTGGGGGCCACCCATTTTCATCGCCTTCTAAATCACCCTCTCAGGGCAATTCATGCACAAGTTAATTAAAAGCAGTTATAACGGAGATTTGGATTTAATGGAGAAATTGACGAGCAAAGTTCAGGAAAGAACACAACATAAGAAATCCAATAACTTTAACAAAATGTGGTTTAGCTTTATTACATATGTTTCGTCAAAGGAACATGGTTATAAACCACCAAAAATGCATAAAAATCTGTGGAACAGCTTTTAATAGAGTGACTCTTAATAAATATGCTTTGAAACCTTGTGTTGGGGAAATTAAAGCGGGGAGGGGGCAACTTATTCTATTATTTACTTTAGTATGTAAAATCAAGAAAAACAAAAACAACAAATTCGTTTAAAACAAGACTAAAACCCTAACAAAGAGACACTTGTGGTAAAGAGCCTGTTAGAACAAAAATGTCTTCAATTGCTTCCAGAAAGTGCTTGTCATATCTTGACAGGGAAGGCTCCAAGTCAGAGGAGTGGTGGTGGGACATGGAAGACAGGTCAGAGGATGAAGGTGCAGGGGGCAGAATGGTTGGATGCAGAACAAGCAACAGGCTCAAGTGAGAGAGAGGAGGAGGAGGCAGAAAGCACCGCAGACATAGGACAGGCTGCTGAGGAGGAGGTGGGGGGCTGAGGTTGCAACAGATTCACGGGAGCCAGCCGGTTCTACTGTATTCAGCTCCCCTCCTGTCTTGTCTCTAAGAGTTTTGCAGAGCAAAAAGCAGAGAGGGAGTTTAAGACTGCTTTACTGGGGCCAGTAGGTTGCCCATAGGTTTCTCTGTTTGTATTCTGTTTCCTTAAAACTTTACTGCTTGTCTCTGAGTTTCTGTGCTGACCTGCAACTAAACCAGCACTAACATAGACTGAGACTCCCTGCTCGGCCATGAAGCTCTCTGGGTGTGTCCTTGGCCCAATCACTGCCTCTCTCAGCCTCACCTACCCCTCAGGGTTGTTGTGAGGATAGAATGAGCAGGAGGAGAATCACACACACCACCTTGAGCCCCTTGGAGGAAAAGCTGGGATACAAATGTAATAAATATGTCATAATACCAGTCACTTGAATGGACCAGCCTCCACTAGTACTTTAACTAACATGCTACAGTAATGATGTGAGGGATTGCTTAGTCTGTAGAGCATGAGGCTCTTAATCTCAGGGTCGAGGGTTTGAGCCCCATGTTGGGCAAAAGATTCCTTCATTGCAGGAGGTTGGTCTAGATGGTCCTTGTGGTGGCTTCCAACATTACAGTTCTATGATTTCATGATTCTATGAGTGTAGACTGAGCAGGAATTGCCTCTTCCCCTTCTCCTTCGTCCTCCTCGTCCAGGTGCAGTGAGAGCATCCAGTATCTTCCCCATCTTGAGTGTGGGTCTGCTGTTCTTCGGAGGTCTCTGTGTGGCAGCCAGTGAGTTCTACAAGAGCAAACTCAACGTCATCTTGAGTGCAGGGATTTTTTTTGTATCGGCAGGTGAGTCCCAAGTCACTTCTCCACTGTCTATGCTACCTGGCATAAGATTAAAGCTCTGACCTTTGCTGCCAAGGCTGACTCCCAGCAATGGGGTGCCAACCAGATTTGAATACCATCCTCCCAGAAGGAAACACTTTTGCTCTCCACCCTTCTGGCTCCATATGGTCTCTTCCAACTTTGCATGCCTATGAATGGGATATCTGGGTATCTGTCCCAAAAGAGCCATAGAGCAGAACATCTGCCCTGAAAGCAGAGGGTTCCAGATTCATCCCCCGACATCTCAAGATTTGGATATGGGATGCAGTGATTCTGTGTGTAGATTGAGCCCTCCTCCTCCTTGCCCATTAACCCTTGCCAAGAACTGCTGCTTAGTTGAGGAAGGGCCAAAGCTTAGTAGGCACAGCCCCTGCTTGGCATGCAGAAGGTCCCAGGTCCGGTTCTCTGCATCTCCAGGTAGGCCTGGAATGTCCCCTACCTGACACCCCGGAGAGCTGCTGCCCATCAATGTCGGCAATGCTGAGCTGGAAGTGTCAAAGGTCTGACTCAGTATAAGGCAACTTCTTATGTCTCTGAGCTGCTGCAGCAGCAACAGCAGCTTCAAAGGGATTTGGAGCCCCAGAATCCCTCTCAGAGCAGTTTCTGTGTACTTTGATGTATTTTACAAAACTCAGAATTGGCGCTCAACAGCAGCATCTTAATTCTGAAGTTAAAGGTTGAGCTGATAAGCCCTGTGTGATGTCTTAGCTAAGCTGGCTCTCTCTCTCTCTCTCTCTCTCTCTCTCTCTGTGTGTGTGTGTGTGTGTGTGTGTTGGAAGATGCTGTGCTTTTCTGAGGATGCTCTGCATTTTCTGGAAAGCTAAGCCAACCTTTGTTTCTTGGCAGGATGCAATTGCCTTTAGGGAAACAGCCAGAGGAGTAAATAAGATAATTCAGGGCAGCACAGTAAAAGGGTAACCACTGAATAACAGAAATGTCTTGGGACCAAGGTAGCTAAAGGACTCCCTCCAGCCATACAATCCTGCCCAGATATTTAAGGCCAGGTTCTGAGGTCCCGCTTGTACGGCCACCAGGAAAATAAATTAAATTGGTAGTACAAGCACTCTCTGTGTGGTGGCTCCACAGTTCTGGAACTGCCAGCTGTATGGATTCTGTTCAGGCTTGCAAGCAAGCTTTCAAAATGCACCTGTTCCAGGCTGCCTTTTCTTGACAGTCTCATGCTGATGCCTTTCTGTGCCACCTTAAATGATCAAGTTCTTGCAAACGCAGAATAGGTATGTTGTGGTACCTGTAGTGCTGCAAATTCCACCGATCAAAGTAGTCAGCTTTGGGGGGCCACAGCCAGCTTGGTTCCATAGACTCATCCTAGTGCCCCGTACCTTACTATACCCTCCAACACCTTGAGTTCCCAAACCGGGGTCCATGTGCTCCCTCCCATGCTCCCAAGTCAGTCATGTGACCAGCGCAAGATCACTGAGCCCAGAAAACATGCTTTTTTCGGGGCCAAGCTCACAAGGCACCCAAAAATGCACCATGAGATTGCAGCCCTGGGGGAAAAAACTTTGGGGGATTGCTTTTTTCTAGGCGAGGTCTCGGTATGTTATCACTTGAGATCACAGCACCCCAAATGGCCGCTGTGCTCTCACACAAGAAAATGGGATGTCCCATTTTTCTGGGATACTTGGGTAAACCCTGCCCTGCCCTATAACAGGCCTGTACAGAGCTTATCTGAGATCCAAGGTGGGAGTCTTGTTAGAACAAAGTTATAAACACAAACAAAAAAACAGGCAGCCTCTGGCAGGGTAGCCCAGCCAGCTTAGCCCTCTGAGGCCCAGGGCAAGTGTACCCAGCTGCCCCAGCCCCTGCACAGGCCTGCCCTATAAAAAGCATTATTCAGAAGAGTGCTTTCCATTGCAAGGAGGTCAAACATGAGACCAATCCAGTTGCAGGGAGTTCCAAAGGTGGAATGGGTACTACAGGGGTATAGTAGGCGTATACATCCATGACCCACTAAGGAAGATAGTCACACAATAAAATTTGAAACAGTAACAATTAATTGCACATTTATTCAAAATCCAATTAAAACTATGTGGTTTAATTAATTCAATGAAGTTGATGAACATGATCCCGTGATACCAGCTTTTCAAAGGCTGATAGTCATTTACACTTCTGGTGCCCCCTACCTCCCCCCCCCTTTGGCTCTTAGCAACCCCTCCCCAAGAATCCTAGAGACCCCCAGGAGGCAGTACCGCCCACTTTGGGAAACACTGGTTTGGAAGAACCTGCTGAAACCAGGCCTCTCCCATTCCCAGGAGGCAGCTATGCCTTTGCACTGCCCTGGCCAGTTCAACACCTGGAGAGGAGCAGCCATCTGGAGAGGAATGCGAGCGAGTGGCAAATGGCTTCCTTCCTGACTGCTGTTGTGGGCTATTTCGTGACAGTATCTTTGTCTCCAGGAAATCTTTTGTCTTGGGCTCCCTCCGCAAACGCTCCACCCTAAAAAAAAGACAGAGAGCATTGTTCTCACTTCTTCAGCCGAGAGGAGTAGAGAAGCAAAGCAGCAAACAAAACGCTCTTGACTCATTAACGCAACACAAAGCTCCTCTGTGGCAAGGAAGCAAGGGGGGGCACCCCATGCATGTTAGCTGAAAGGGTGCCCCCCCTTCAGTTTCACACAGAGCCCAGAAAATGCCCCTGGGGTGCTGGCGGGTGCTGGTGTCAGGCAGGAATGCTGGAAGTTCTCTGATACTGAGTCAACCTGATGGTGCATCTAGCTCAGTGTTGTTGCATTGGGTCTCCATCAGCTGTCAAGCAGTGGACACTCCCAGTCCTACCTGGAGATGTGGGGGATGAACCTGGAACCCTCTGCTTCCAGGGCAGATGTTCTGCTCTATGGCCCTTTTGGGACAGATACCCAGATATCCCATTCATAGGCATGCAAAGTTGGAAAAGGCCATATGGAGGCAGAAGGGTGGAGAGCAAACGTGTTTCCTTCCAGGAGTTGAAATGAAAATAGCATGACTTCCCCAAATATGTTGGTGTTTGTGTGCCACCAGTTCATCCCTTGCATACTGCAGAGTCCCATTCATCTCCTCTGACTGGATGAGCAAAGTGTCAGGAACTGGCTGTATGGGGAAGAGTGGCAGAAGCCACCTGACCAGAGCCCCCGGGGGAAAGCACAGAGGGAGAGGGTTTGGATCCTGGCTCCTGGTGGTGGGAAATCAGCCACACCCCAGAGGAGGGAGAAAGCTGGGAAGTGCTGGAGGCTGGGAGCTTGGAGGAGGATGAAGAGGAGGAAACAGGCAGGTGCCCCAGCCCACAGGAATCAGACTTGACAGCTCCACCAGAGCCACCCTGACAATTTCTCTGCTGACAGCCTGCAAGCCTCTTCCCTTCCACTCCTAGAACAAGGCATCTACTGCATGTCACAGAGCAGAGAGCCAGGCAAAAACAGAGAGCGTTCTTTGGGTTAGAGAGTGAAGGCAGGGAGTTACAATCCAGTCCAGGCAACTGCTTCATCTAGACAGGAACAACCCTTAGAAGCCCCTGTGTGTTCTCTGCTCTGCTTCTTTAATAACGAAACTAACTGTAACAGGATAGTACGCACCCCGGAAATTATCTCTTTCAGCTTCTGCCTTCTGGAAGAAGGTATAGGGTTATAAAGACCAGGACTAGCCGCCTGAGAAACAGTTTCTACTCAAATTCAATTCTGGTTCTAAACGCAGCATAAGGAGTCTCTATAGTATATTATATTTTAAAACGGGGTTTCAGAGTTTTTAGGGGGGGGTTGAATGTTTTATGTAGTTTTTCAGTTTCATTGTTCTGTATGGGACAATGACAATAAAGATATCGTATATCGTATATCATATAGCGTATAGCGTATAGCGTATATTGTATATCGCATATCATAAGTTAACCAGCATGTCACTGTCTTTCTCTGTGTTGCAAATGACCTGTTCTCCCTGTTGGCTCCCGGACACAAAGTTACTTTAGTCCTCCTCTGATTCTTCCCTTCAGGGCTAAGCAACATCATCGGGATTATCGTTTACATCTCTGCCAACGCCGGGGACCCTGGGCAGAGCGACTCCAAGAAGAGTTACTCCTACGGCTGGTCCTTCTACTTCGGGGCCTTATCCTTCATCATTGCTGAGATGGTGGGGGTGATTGCCGTCCACATGTACATCGAGAAGCACCGCCAGATCCGAGCCAAAACCCATTCCGTGGCGCTGCTGAAGAAGTCCACCTTTGCCCGCTTGCCTACCTACCGGTACCGGTTCCGAAGGAGATCCAGCTCCCGCTCCACGGAGCCCAGGTCCAGGGACCTGTCCCCCATCGGCAAAGGCTTCAACACCATCCCGTCCACCGACATCTCCATGTTCACCCTCTCCAGGGATCCTTCCAAGCTGACTATTGGGACACTGCTCAACTCAGAGAGAGATCACGGGTTTTTACAGATTCACAACTCCCTCCCCAAAGAGTTCAAGGAGTCCTTACACAACAATCCAGGCAACAGACGAACCACGCCAGTCTGAGGCCAGCCTCGCCCCTGGTTGGCTGAGAGTCCTGGCAGTCAGAGCTGCCCTGCTGGCTGCCATGTATAGAGGTGTATCGTTGAGACTGCATGACATGACCCGCCCCCTGTGATGGTGTAACCAGTGAAACTTTGTTTTTCAGAAGAAACCCTCGGCGGGGGTCCTGCCCCTCATGGGCAACCTGGGTTGAGGACTTCGTTTTTTCCGTTTCGTTTTTGAAATCCTCGAATCTCCACTTGCTAAGCCCAAGCGGTTGTGGCTTTGGTTTGACTGCCGCTGAGCCTCCCCAATTCCCAAAACTCTCATTCTTTGAGCAAGAACAGACATTGTAGCTTTGCCACATGCACAGCAAAAGGGGTTCCCATTGGACTGCCAGGAGGCTCCATCAGGAATGTAGGGAGTACCCCATGGCTATTGGTCCCCCCGCGGAAATCCCACTTGCGCGCTGTGGTCATCCCGAAATCACCTCTGTGGGAAATCTCCAAGCACGAAACGGCGAACCTGAGTGTGTTTGAGAAGACTGTGACCATTGTCCCTTCTTCCATCTGGATTGTATTGAGTGATGCTGGGGGGGTTGGGGTGGGGGCTGTCTGTTTTTGTGTGCATGCATTAAATAGCTTGGAATCCCATTTCCTGCCATGTGGTTGGAAGAGATGGCCCGGAGCCATTTCTGTGGGTTTAGGGAGGGCTCTGTGTTTTTCTCGCATCTTCAACGCTCCCATCAAGGACTCCGGGTCAGGTGGGGAGAGGCAAATGCTCCCCCTCCTCCATCTCTCCCAAGGTGCTGGTCGTCATCTGCCATCTGTGGGTCAGCTTTTGACATTGCAGGTAGGATGAGCTCACTCTCTCATGCCCAGAGGTAGATCTCTGGACACCATGAAGATTATGTGTGGTTGAGTTTGCAATCTGCTTTTCCAGCTGCAGCACCAGTCTATGTCCTGTACAGATGGGCGGTCGATATCTGGAATGTTTGAAAGGTCCAAGGAAAGCAAATATATACCAATAAAACACATTCGGATCAGCATTTGTGGTTCAGAGGCCTTTTGTTGGTAAAGGAAGGCATGGGGAAGGGAGCAATATATGGAGGGAGGAACATGGGAGGGGTTTTTTGTTCATATTGCAAAATAGTGAAGATCAGTCAGCAGCTTTCTTGAGGAATCAGCACAAATGCTACCACTGTCAACTTCAAGGAAGCCCTACCTGCAAATTGCAATTTACATGCAATATATTTTCCTGGAGCTGCCAAGAGCATCTGCTGTGTTCTGCCCCAAATATATCTCTCCACACACACACCTTGGCAGGTGGAACATGGAAAGGCAGTCAGCTTTGAAGACCTGGGGAAGAAAAGGGACAAGCAGTCTGTTGGTTTTCCTTAGCCTTCCTCTTGCACATGGTGACATAGGGATGCTGGTGGTGCTGTGGTCTAAACCACTGAGCCTCTTGGGCTTGCTGATCAGAAGGTCGGCAGTTCAAATCTCCATGACGGATTGAGCTCCCATTGCTCTGTCCCAGCTCCTGCCAACCTAGCAGTTCGAAAGCATGCCGGTGAAAGTAGATCAATAGGTACCGCTGTGGCAGGAAGGTAAATGGCATTTCCATGTGCTCTGGGTTCTGGCCCGGTGTTCCATTGCGCCAGAAGCAGTTAAGTCATGCTGGCCACATGACTCGAAAAGCAATCTGTGGACAAACGCTGGCTCCCTCAGCCTGAAAATGAGATGAGCGCCGCAACCCCATAGTCGCCTTTGACTGGGTTTAACCATCCAGGGGTCCTTTACCTTTACCTTTACCTTTAAATGGTGACCTAACTTGCTGATGTTGAGCCCACCCCAATTTTCATCCTACTTTTGATCCGAGAATGCCCAAGGCACTCTGTCTCTGTTTGTTTAAGCTGGTTGGCATTTCCCTCTATGCCCACCCAACAGTTTCTCCAAAAGATACCAGCCAAGTGCCCTTTAATACAAGAGTCTTTTAATGGGTTGGGGGGAGTGCTGAATCAGGTAATTATTGGTGGGAAGTGGCCTCTAAGGGAGAGCTCTTTTCCCTAAATACAGGCTGTATTTTCCCCCACCCCTTATCTAGAAAGCTTTACATAGTGCATAATCAGAAAAGGGGGGGGGACAACAACCTCTAAGCAGTTTAGGTAAAAACAATAGAAAATAGTCAAAAGGAAAACACTGGTAAAATCAAACTTTAAAGACAAGTAGATGTACAAAATTGAATAAAAAAAAACCAGGGAGGAAACAACAGTTTTTAAACAAATACACATATCGGAATTTTGTGTCTGGGTAGACTGGTCTGAACAAACAAGCCTTAAGCATTGGAAACAGTTCAGCAAAGGTGTATGAAAAAGGAACATTTTAAGAGCTGGGTCAGCACAGCATTCTTTCTTCACAGTGGCCAACCAGATGCCTGTGTGAAACCCACAAGCAAGATTTGAGCACAAGAGCCCTCTCCCCTCCTGTCGTTTCTGGCAAGTGGTATTCAGAAGCATTGCTGCCTCCAACTGTGGAAGCAGAGCAGAGCCCTTGTGGCTAGCAGTCATTGAGACCCTCCTTGAATCGGTCCAATCCTCTTTGGAAGCAATCCAAGCTGGTGGTCATCCCTACCTACTGTGGGGATGAGTTCCATAGATTAATTCTGTGCTGCAGGAAGCACAGAATTTTTATCCTTCCCGAATCTTCCAACATTCAGTTTCATCGGTCGTCCACGAATTCTAGTGTCATGAGAGAAGGAGAAAAAATTTTCTCTTTCCACTTTCTCCGTGCCATACATTATTTTATAAACATCTACCATGTGCCCTCTTACCATAGCTGTCAACTTTTCCCCTTTTTTAAGGGAAATTCCCTTATTCCGAATAGGATTCCTCACAAGAAAAGGGAAAAGTTGACAGCTATGCCTCTTGCCTTTTTTCTAAACTAAAAAGTCCCAAACAATGTAAGTTTTCATCATAGGGAAGTCGCTCCCTCCCCTTGATCATTCTGGTTTTCCTTTTCTGAACCTTTTTCAACTCTACAATATCCTTTTTGAGGTGAGGCAACCAGAACTGTACACAGTATTCCAAATGCGGTGACACCATAGATTTGTATAATGGCAAGAACACCTATTATGTTTGCCTTGGTGTCCTGAAACTCAAACTGTGGCCAGTCTCTTTGGAGGAAAAACTGTTAAACAGTATTTAAAATAAAGAGCAACATAGCAGGAGAGCAAAGCTAAGCAGCATCCAAATGTTTTCTTTTACCCCCAAGTTCCCACTTGACTATTATTATTATTATTATTATTATTATTATTATTATTATTATAGTATAGTATACAACCCTTCATGTGTAGATCTTTGGTGGGCTTAGGGGAAACATCATGTTGAGGTGGGTGGAGGACAAAAAATTGGAAATACTCAAATGGCTGAAGCTTCTTTTATAAACTCACTGAAGGAGAGAAAACTGCAAGCATATTCCTTCTGCTTGCAAACGTATTTTGAGAGCACCCTTCCTAGGACCTCTGTGTCCTTGAAAAATATTTAAAATGCAAAACTTATCAATATTAAATGCAGCTTTTTTGCTAGAGGCAGTGTTCCTGACTGTGAACCATAAAACAGACATAGACTTCCTGTATGGTCTGTTACAGGAAGGGTTGTGGGTGGAGGTGGAGAAGACTTTTGCTAGGCTGGGGTGTAATGGGAGGGGGGCTCCTTAAAGCAGTGGGAGACTTTGAGACACACATGCTCAGTGGTGGAGCCTCTGGTTTGCATGCAGAAAGTCCCAGGTTCAGTCCTCGGTTTTCTGTCTGAAAGCCTGGAGAGCTGCTGCTGGTCAGTGCAGACAGTACTGAGCTAGATGCAGCATTGATCTGACTCTGTATAAAGCATGTTCCAGTGTGTCACTTGAGCACCATCTTAAATACATGGTGACTTCCAAATGTTTCAGCCTACAACTCGCACCAGCCCCAGTCGGCATTTTGGAAATCGCAGCTTAAACCTGCGACTGTAAGAGGAGGGTGTTGTTGAGGGTGTTTGTTTTTGAGAGAGAGAGAGAGTCTTGTCCTACCCCTGGAAGAAGATATTTTGAGAACGAAGAACTCGATTCCATTGAGTTAGATCCAAGAATGAGATATTTGTGGCAGCGAGGGGTGACGTGGCCAACTGTGGGATGCTGACTCGCGATGCCAAGCACGGACCAGCTGCTTTGTGGAGGAGAGATGTGCCTGTGGATCAGCAGAGGGGGCGGATCCTGGTGCCAGCTCATAGCGGAACCCTCTGGAGGTATTTCTCTCCTGAGCGTAACACATGGAGCCGTGTGGGGTATTCGCCGCGCTGAGTGGGAGGGGGCCACTCTGAAAGGAAGATACAAAATGCCAACAGCAGGAAGGTGGCCTTCAAGCCCACCGGCAGTGGAGGTATGCAAGCTGGCGATCCCTGAAAGACATCAGGGGTGGGGGGACAGGAGGGTCCCAAGCAAATTCTTTTAACTTGGGTTCGCTTGGAAAAAAGTCAGTTCCCTCTCATCCTTTTTAAAGCAAGAGTTATACCATCCATTGCAGAGACTCTCATGGAAAGCTCTAGTGCTTCTGTTGGAAAGCAAAGTGTGGGAAGAAGAACCATGCAGCTCACGGTTCAACTATGGAACTCCCTTCTGCAGGAGGCAGTGATGGCTTAGGCTGGTGCAAATTCATAGAGGAGAGGGCTAGTGATGGTTATTAGCCACAGTGGCTATGCTCTACCTCCACAGCTATAAACAGCAGTGCTTCTGAATCCCATTTGCTGGAAACCCCAGGAGGGGAACGGTCTCTTGTCCTCTAATCCTGCTGGAAGGTTTTCCACTAGGGCATCTGTTTGGCCACTGTAATGACAGGCTTTTGGACTAGATGGGCCATTGGCCTGATCCAGCAGGCTCTTCATAAGAAGAGTCTGTCTGTATGAAGGTCCCCAAGCCATGCAGGTGTCAGGATGCTGTCAGCGGCTCCCAGCTGGTTGCCCGGGAAAGTATAAAGACAAGGAAAAGTTTCTC